AAAGGGACCATACTCTCTAAACAGGGCCGACTCCAGGCACCAGCTGAGCAAGCAGGTGCTTGGGGCGGCCCAGGGGAATTGGCAGCAATTCGGCGAAGGATCCCTGTCCCTCTCGGCCGGCCGAATTGCCACCGAAGAAGAAAGTGGCGCGATCGCGGCTTTTTTTTTTTCCCCCTCCGCTTGGGGCAGCAAAAACCCTGGAGCCGGCCCTGTCTCTAAACCCCAAAGGGGTTACACATAAGGTGGGAAATACTGTTGGTGCATATAGAACACATTTGTGACATGTTTGTGCAATTTACTTTATTGGCAAGAGCATCATGCAATGTGTTGACGGCCCCATGTTGCTCTCAAATATCAATAGGATTACTCATGGAGAAAGGTACTACTCAGTGTGAGTAAAAGTGACAGAATCAGTCTCCTAATGAGGCAAAGCTTCTGGCTGGGGAAAATGCTACTTGTTACAGCAGAGCTGCTGCTTTGCAGAAATGAGTCATGTGAAAAAAAAAGATGTGACACTTCGCTTTAATAATGATGATGCACAAGATATGGGGGATGAATACTTGATTCAAAAGCCTGTTTCAAGTTCTATTTAGTTTCTTTACTTAATATTTTAAAGTACATTTAACACCATGGAAAAAACAAACCAGATTTTTTTCTTCCGATTTCCTGAGTGATGCATCAAGTTGCATCAGATATTTTGTCTTACGTAACTTCATGTAACCTCATGTAAAGTTATATAGCTGCCACAGCCTGAGTAGTAATGAAGGTTTATACTGGAAACTAAAAGGAGGAAACACATGGTACTGATTGGCAAAATACATAGTAGAAATCCTGCTTCTGTTTGGTGTTATTCAGTTCTGCTGTTTGGGGGAAGCAAAGATTCGGATATGAGGATGGTGAAGTCTTACGAAGTGAAAACTGATGACATATGGGTAGGCAAAACTCTATGTAGGAATGCTCACCTGGACATGATGAGATTTTTAACCCCTTAGCAATGGGAGATCATTGTCATCTGGGGATACTGCTAACTTCCATTCAGTGGAAAGATTGGAAAGCTGCAATCTCCCAGAGCCTCGGTTTGGCAGTGGGACCAGATCATGAGATTAGGGATTATAGAAGTTCAGAAACTGGTTGGTGCAGATACTTACACCACTTCTGAAGATAAAACCAGAGTCCATAGCTGCTTCCATATCCACCTGTTATGGTCTATTGCTATATATAATATGCATGTGAGTATTTATCTCTCCATGCTTTTCTTCACAAGCCAAAATTGCCAGATGGCAGCTAGATTACTTGCTTGCAAAATCTGATATGTGCGCCAGTCTTCCAGCACCATCTTTACCAAGGGACACTTTCCAAACACACCGGGCTATCCCTCAAGCCTTCATTAAAAGACTCCCCTCCAAATCTATTAGATGGTCTAGCATGGTCTAGCAGAAAGAGAATATATCAGAATCTGCATAAATTTCATCATTCGGCTAACGAGGCACAATGTATACAGGACATCAAGCAAAAAATGTGTATATTCACTAGAGGTGGTTAATGTAAAATAGTCAGATGTTTAAATGAATTCAGTTTGGGCATAATCTTGCACCTTTGGTTTTTAGCTTCAGTTATTCTTGATGCAAATACTGGGGCAAGCAAACTCCAATGATCTTGATATAAGATGCTCATTTTAGGTATGCTCATCCAACCAAGGAAGGGAGTTTGAAGGCTACCATCCTTACAGGAGTTAAGGTTGTGGTATATGGTCTATGATGTATAGTGGTTGTGGTAGTGTTTATCTGGGGATAGACAAACAAGGTATGGAGTCATAGAGTTTAAGGCCAAAGGAGATCAGCAGATCTTCTAGTCTGACCTCTTCTACTACAGGCCACTAAACACCATTCAGCCATCTTCATACCAAGGCCAACAACCTGAATTAGATCAAAGTATTCCAGAGCTCAGGGGACTAAACTATTATGTGTCACGGGCAGAGAACAGGAAGGACCGAAGTGCACCTATGCCTAAGTTCCTGGCAATAGCAGGGGAATGATTCGATGAAATATGCCCTGATAATCCTGGCAAGTAACCCACAGCCTCTGCTACAGAGGAAGGTGGCACCTCCCCTCACCCCCTGCAAATTCCCTGCCAATCTGACCTGTGTGTGTGTGTGGCGGGGCGGGGCGGGGGGGATTCCTTCCCATCCCCAAATAGAGTTATCAGTTAGAACCTGACCATGTGGGGAAGACCTATCAGCCAAGCCCTGAGAGACAATTTTCAGTACCACCTCAGAGGAATGACTCCCCTGTCCAGCATCCCATCTTCAGCCATGGCCATCTCTGATGCTTCAGAGGAAGCAGACATCCCCCCACCCCCTGTGAATACATCAGGGAAACAAAAAATTACTTCCTGACCCCTACCAGTGACTGGCTAAAGCCTGAGATTGTAGGCAGGGCTTTGGAGTGGAACCCAGAGCTGGAGTGTGGAGCAGTTCTGAAGCAATGGAGCTGCAGGTTTTTGCCTGGAGCTGGAGCGGAGCCAGAGCACAGCTCCAAAGCCCTGATTGTAGGAACATAAGACATGAAATATAAGGGACCCCTTGGGCTGACAAGCCCAGTCCTCCATCACCATGGGTAAATCTGTCATACAACCCCACTCATAAAACTAGATAACTTTATCTTAAAACTAATTTGATTGTTTGCCCCCAGAATTTCTATTGGGAGTCTGTTTCAGAACTTCACTCTTCTGATGGTTAGAAATAGTCTTCTAATTTCCAGTCTAAATTTGTTCATGGCTAGTTTATACACGTTTGTTCTTGTGCTGTATGTGGTTTAACCTTTCATTTACTTGATTTTGTGTCCGGTATGTTATGTGTGTGGCAACCATAATTTGCAGAACCAATTTTTTGGACTATAAATATATCTAATTTATACCTGCTTTGTACTACATTTGAGGATGAGACAGATGCATACAGCTGCTGTGGATATATGTTGTACTCATTGTTCAGTATGGAAATGGTTAATATTGCTAAATATGAATCACAGCACTCCCTTGTGCTAACCAAAGTCCAGGTGTTCTATATATAGCCCAAACTTTGACTTAATCATGTGGGACTTACCATCATTTGTTGACTTGCGTCAAATAAATGTAAAAAGATATATATAAATAACTCTACAGAGTGCTTTAACAGCTCAGCTCTAGAGAATGTGTCTGCCTCTGCCAATGCATACATGTTAACTTGACTTGGTTTAGATTTAAAAAAAAATAAAATTCTACCTTATACACTTCTCAAAAATATATAGAAATAAACCTTTACAGAACAAAACAGTTCACATTTTCTTTCTTTCTTTCTTTCTTTCTTTCTTTCTTTCTTTCTTTCTTTCTTTCTTTCTTTCTTTCTTTCTTATTTTGACCATTTTAAAATAGTTTGATTTTTAACTAAAATTAAAGGAAATTTTGAAACAACAAAAATTGTTTTGAATTGAAATGTTTAGTTTAGGAAATGTCAAATTCATAGAGCTTTTTCAGATTTTGTTGGTTTTTTTTTTAATCTAAGTAATTGTGCAAAACTGACACAAATTTGTGAAGTATTCCAGTGTCACTGAAAGTGCATTTTTTTCACCAAAAACAGCTTCGACTGAAAAAATTTGCCCAATTCTAGAAATAATGCAATTACTTAAGTGCTTTTGAGGCACATCTATATTACTGTATTTTATGCATACAGTATCCTCAAAGTAGCCTTCAGTTTTAATCCCAGACTTAGGTTCCCAGTTATCTGCTAAGATTTGAGTGCATGAAACTTGCATACAAAATGTGTGACAGAGGCTCCAAAGGAAGGATGTTGCCTGAAAAAGGGGACCCTAATCCATGTAGGATTCATATTTTTAATATTGTAATGGTTTTCTAGTATAAACTTTTCTGATGTATTTATTTTTTCTCTCTAATCAGTTTTAAAATATCAGCATTGCTCATGTGACTGAGCAGGGCCATCTCTCCCCTAAACCTATGGGCAGGACCATGGACTTCCATGCTGTACTTTGAAATTGCAGCCAGTAGGTTGGAACAGTGAGCTCTATCAATAATTCTCTAGGAAGGAGTCTCCTTTCAGCTATGGTCCCTGTGGCTGAATAAAAGGGAAATTAAAGCCCCATGATTGGCTAAGTCTGAATTCTCATGGAGCAGGCATTGCAAAGGGAGCGACCTGTAGAGAAGGCTTAAGGGAGGTGCTACTGCAGTAAATTAGGGTAACCAATTGTGTTGTGTACAGTATGCATTGGTCATTCTGGCCCCCAGAGCATCCTGAGATCAGGAGGATGCAAAGATGGCAAAAAGGCTCCTGCTTTTGGGTTGGGAGTTCTGGGCTCCATCTCCAAGAGGCACGGCACTTAAGCTCACCCTCATTGTTTAACCTGTGGTTTTCTGGGTGTCTTTAGACTCTTTTCCAAAAGAAACTATTTCCTTCTCTCTTTTGTAGAGCAAGAAACCAGAGAATTATTACCTCTTTCATGACTGCTACACTCTGTCCATGAACATAGCTCAGGGGTGGGCAAACTACGGCCCAGGGGCTGCACCTGACCCCCCCAGATGTTTTGATCCGGCCCTCGAGCTCCCGCTGGGGAGCGAGGTCTGGGGCTTGCCCCATTCTGCGTGGCTCCCGGAAGCAGTGGCATGTCCCACCTCTGGCTCCTATGCGTAGGCGCAGCCAGGGGGCTCCGCACACTGCCCCTGCCCCAAGCGCCACCCCTGCAGCTCCCATTGGCCATGCAGGCAGCACGCAGAGCTGCGTGGCCGCACCGCTGCATAGGAGCCAGAGGGGGCACATGCCGCTGCTTCTGGGAGCTGCTTGAGGTAAGTGCTGCCCAGAGCCTGCACCCCGACCCTCTCCCGTGCCCCAACCTCCTGCCCCAGCCCTGATCCCCCTCCCGCCCTCGAATCCCTTGGTCCCAGCTTGGAACACCCTCCTGCACCCCCAACCCCTCACCCCCAGCCCCACCCCAGAGCCTGTACCCCCAGCCGGAGCCCTCACCCCCCCACCCCTGCACCCTAACTCTCAATTTTGTGAGCATTCGTGGCCTGCCATGATTTCCATACCCAGATGTGGCTCTCAGGCCAAGAAGTTTCCCCACCCCTGGCTCTGCCCTTGAATAATCTGCAATTAATTCTGCCCTGTGTGATATCATACAAAAATCATATGTCTCATCCCTCTCTGCCAAAGCCTGAATAACGTCCAACACATGACCTTCTTGATAGATATTTATTTTACAGTTAAATAAATCAGGTGGATCTAATTTCCTGTTCACATGGACACATGTTTGTCCAGTCTGATATCTGCCTGCATATTTCTGTGGCTTCTTCCCTCTCCCCCAAGAGGTTCCTATGACGTCATTTCGGTGCAAGATGATGACACTTAGACCATTAGTCAGCAAAACACATGAGCACATGCCTATGATTTTCATGAACTGGGGCCCAGCACTTTGCAGGATAAGGTCCTTTCTGTACAAAGAAATTCATTGCCGTACTTAAAGTGAACCACCACTTCTAAACATGTTTATATTTTGAAAACAAATACCACAATAATGCCACTTTCTGTTATTGCAGTGAAAGCTGGAGAAACAATGTTTGTTTACAGCCAGCACCCTACTGCATTTTTATCCCTAGAAGGAAAAGTCCAGAAATAATCCAACGTTATGTTTAAAATACTCATATTTAAACATACAAGCAATATAGACCAAATACATGATTCCCCCTCTCCCTTCCCCTCCCCCTCCCAGTTTTGAAATGACTCATCTGACTTGCACTGATTTTTAACTATGCCTCTCCTCCCTGCTGGCCCTTTACAGGTGCACACATCTTGTGGTGGCTGGGTGTCACCTTCTCCTGCATCATCTTCTTTCAGATAGCAGCATCCAGGAACTCTGGAGAATGGGAAAAGGGAGAGCTTCTAAATAGCTGTGTGTTACCAGGAGAATAGGTAACAATTACATGTACATTTTATTAATAATATCTTGAACTTGAAGATGGGCATTAGCATCCCAGGTAACTACCATATTATTCATTTCCTCCCAAGAACTGTCGTATTCTGCTTTTTTTTACTACTTCACTGTGTTGTCACTTCCTTCTGTAATTTCTGTGGGGCACGATGTCTCTATATGTATTTCAGTGTGCTGTACACATTTTACTGTACCATGTAAGTACAACTTAGTAATATTACTATTTCGGGATGCGAAGATGCTAAAAGGGGTGTGTGTGTATTTGATTTGGTTCATGTACCATTCTGAATTTTGCTCCTGAAAAATAAACATCTCCTTAAATTCACACTTAAGTTGCTGCAGAGGAGGTACTAAGCACCTTTCATGATAAGGCCCAGAGGAAATTGCTGGGATGGGGAGGGAAGGGAAGGGAAAACCACAGAAATATGCAGGCAGATATCATTTCTACCAATGGAAAGTAAAACATATTTTGCCACTAAACCATATATTTCAATGTAGTCACAGCATAACGTTGTCTGGCAGCTAATGCTGAGGTGCACCCAAGACCTTTCTTTTAGAAGCAGAAAGCTTTTTTCCTGTCACAACTTTCTTTTATGATAATGTAGCCTCAATTGTATTGTCTGATGTATTGTAGTGGAGCAGAGCAACAGTTTGAATAGATTACTGAAGATAATATTGAAGTCAATACACGTTGGCTTTAGCCAATTAGAGAGTTGCTCGTCTAGAAATTGTCAATGCATTTAGAGTATACTGTACATTTATGACTAAGCTGGATTCTGAGTAGCTGAGTAATTTTTAAATGTAATTATTATCTAGCTCAGGGGTGCTCAAACTGGGGGTCGGGACCCTCAAGGGGTTGTGAGGTTATTGCATGGGGGGTCGCGAACTGTCAGCCTCCACCCCAACCCTGCATTGCCTCCAGCATTTATAATGGTGTTAAACATATAAAAAAAGTATTTTTAATTTATAAGGGGGGGGTCGCACTCAGAGGCTTGCTATGTGAAAGTAAAAAAGTTGCTATGTCACCAGTTAAAAAGTTTGAGAACCACTGAGCTGCTATAAAGTTTATGATTAATTCCCTCCCTCCCCAGCACATAGGAGATACACTGCCAAAACGTACTTATCAACAGGCTCTCCTAGCCTAGCATTCAACTGAACTGACTAGTTGCAATCACACAGGAATTCCATAATGGATCAGAACAGTGGTCCATCTAGTAGTAATGTTTACCTGATGCTATGGGATTGGATTCATCCACAGGGTTAATGATAGCATATTGCCAAGCCCCACACAGTTTGATGCATAATATTTACCATTACAGACATCACTTTCAAATAACCTAATGAGTGTTCCGTGTCCACCTTCTTTCGTTGGCCTTTGCTACACTGGCAATTCACAGCGCTGCACTTGCTGCGCTCAGGGGTGTGAAAAAACACCCCCCCTGAGTGCAGCGAGTGCAGCGCTGTAAAGCGCCAGTGTAATCAGAGCCTGCAGCGCTGCACGCTCGCTCGCAGTGCTGCAAGCTATTCCCCTCGGAGAGGTGGAGTACGTGACTGGCAGCGTGACTACACTCGCGCTTCACAGCGCTGCCCTGGCAGCGCTGTGAATTCCTGGGTGTAGCCAAGGCCTAAGATGTTTGTTGCCGTTTGGAGAGGAGGAAGGACAAGAGCAGTGATATAGAACCTATAAACCTGTGCTTTAGGGTCTTCTCCCAATCTCCCCTAATTTAAATAAGTTTCATTTTGTGGCACAGTCTAGATTTTAACATAGTCCATTGTTGGCTCATTCCATTGATGTAAATCCCAGGAAACTGATCGGTTAATTCTGCCAAATGATAGAGAATGAGGGGGCAACAATAACCTCTTTGGAGTCCCTTTAAAGAGACAGAATAAGAATAATGAATGCTTGCAAAATAATCAGAGGGGAAAAATAAACCTGTGTTGGATAATCAGTTGTTTGTGGAGGAGGCAAAACATGTGATTGCTAGAGACTTAGCAGCAGTAATGTGAATTTCATGTTCTTGAAGGCAGCAACAAATACTTTAAAGAAAAAAAATATTCTTTGACTTTCTGCTGTAGAAAACATGTGGTGTCAGGCCAGATAGCCCAGTTCATGTTGCAGTAATATGAAGTAACTGATTAATTTGACAAGTTCTTAGGGAATTAATTCAAACTGCATCAGAATATCACCTCTCACTTTCAGAAACAGATCAAGCAGATAGGGCTAATAATAACCGGATGCACCTTGGTTTTGTCAGAACCAAAACCAAACTCTTTTCCTACCTAAAGAGGGAATTAACTTAAAGCATTGTGTGGAAAAAATAGACTTATCTGAACCAGAGTCCATTTTTCATTCCCCACATTGCCAAATCTGGTCCAAGAAATTCAGTTTATGCTCACAAAGAAGATTTGAACAGTCACTGCAAACCCGGGATATCTCCTTTTTTTGTTCATGATTTTACACCTATTTTATTTTTGCTCATATTATAAAAATTGAACCAAATGTTTGGTAAGAAGGCACAGAATTTTTATTTAGGAATCATTTGATAACACAAACAAAAATAGAAAATGTATGCATGTACCACTGGATCCTAGATTTTCTTCTACATCTCTGATACAGTTGTTTTTGAATAGAACACCTTAATGTAGCCGTCAGCTTAAAAATGCCCAGGTGGCAAGGAAACCATAAAGCAACGTGTCCTCTGTTGGAGTCTAAGGGCAGGTCTACACTAACCCCCCAATTCGAACTAAGGTACGCAACTTCAGCTACGTGAATAACGTAGCTGAAGTTCGAAGTACCTTAGTTCGAACCTACCTCGGTCCAGATGCAGCAGGCAGGCTCCCCCGTCGACTTTGCGGTACTCCTCTCGCCGAGACAAAACGTGATAAGTCGAACCCAGAAGTTTGATTTGCTTGCCGCAGAACTACCGGGTAGTGTAGATCTACCCTTATGGTAACATAAGAATCACTAAAATGATGCACAATGAAGTAAAATGTCAAATTAATATTTTTATATGTAATAGGTGGGAAAACATGTTAATGTTTATAATCATTAGAAATACATCAACCAGCCAGCAAACGTAGGCAGAGCTGATAGCCAATTTTTGAAATAGACCCATTAACTTTATTTTAGGTTACAGCACCTTGTACTACCTTGTTTGCTGCTCCTGTCAGAGCTCACAAGCTAAGTATGGTTGGGCAGGGTCAAGTCTTGGACGACACCCATTCACTCAAGGACTATGTGCCACTGGAAGTGATGTATATGATCTAGCAGGTGGCACTCTTCCCTCCAAATCAATGCTGAACCGGTACCTCAGCCTCCACATCTGTAAAATGAGAATAACACTTGCAATTAACTATCTCACAAGGCTATAAGTGACACCTGTTGCAGTGGCAGTCTTTCAGGTGAACAGAGGTAATCAGGGCAGAGGTCACTTAAAAATCTTATGGCTCTTTTCAGAAAAAGACTTGGGCTGTTGCTTGGTGTCATGGCCAAATTCCAGGTCAAGTAACAACTTGCTGCTCAATTAAATTCTCTGTGCTGTCTCAGCAAGAAAAGGACATGAAGAATACACTTTCAAAAGTTCATAGTATTGGCATGATGTGAGCTGTTAAACAGTTTCTTATTCTGCCCTGTTCCCAGAAGCAACTGCATTTCAAAAGTAGATACAGGGATCCTTGTGTGTAAGTTTGTAAAGTGCTAGGGAATACTTTGGGATGAAAGATGCTATATCAAAAGTAATATCACTGCATCATTCAAACTTCCAACTGACATCCCGTGGGGTTATTTCTAATTCTTACTGGATTACTTTGATCAGAGTAGGGGCCGGGGAGTCAGATTCTGGCTTTGCCACTGACTGACTTTGTGACCTTGGGCAAATGACTGTACCTGCTCTGTGCCTTATTATCCTCATTTGTAAACTGGAGATAATACCTGCCATAAAGGGGTGTTGGATAGCCTCTGTGTAATGCACCCCCACCAGTATGCAGCCTAGTGCATGGGACATGCCTCGAGCAGTGAGTATGTCAGTGTAAAAGGTATTTTTTCTTTTGCTCTCATTGTTAAGACTCTGCTGTAGTCTAGAAAACTACAAATACCCAATGGACCAAGAATTGCATGGGATATTGTCATTTTAACTTTTAAAAACCCAAACCCAACAAAATACAACCCGTGGCTTTTGATTCTTCCCTCCCCTGTGGATAGGCCCCTGGCAGGTTAACTGGCACACAGGTCACAGCATTTGTATTGATATGTTAAACAAGCCAAATAATGACAAGTCTATCTTTGGAAAGCTTTGAGAAGAAATTACATAGCTTGATAACCAGTATAAAGTTTAGCTCACAGTCACTATAGTTAAAAGTGAAGCTAGAGCAAACAGACAAGAGAACCTATATTATATATTTAGCAATGAAGTGCTGCTACACTTCAACTAGTTGTCACAACAAAGTTTTGTTGATAAACGGTAGCTCTGTACAACTGCCAAATTAAACTCGGGTGCTTGCCTGGATTGGGAGTTGACTCATTACTCAGATAAAATTATTAATAGTTTCTGAATAAAATCATTCAGAGCATATAGTAAGAACTGCCAAAGAGGAGTCTTATTGATTTTTCAACAGTTATTCACCATGGTAAGCGGATTTGTGTCTGCATGCAAACTTTTTTTTATCCAATGTAAAATGTCTACAAATCCTACCATCTGATTACTTTCAGATTATATGCCCAAGAATGCAGGCCCATATCCGTATTGTGTATAGCAACAGGAAAGGAGTGCTAATTCAGCAGCACCGTGAATGGTAAAGACATGCTATAAATACACCTAACATATAAAGAATAAAGCAAGCAACAGTATTCTGAACACGATGCCTTTGGGAATTATGTGGAAAGGAAAACTTGCATAAATGTGTGAGCACATATCTCTCTGTGTGTGTTAATATACTTTGTTATGCTGGGAATTGGGTGAAACCTCATTGACGTTGGTGGGCCCAACAATCGCCCTTGATTCAGGATAAAGTTAGAAAGTAATTAAGCTCCTTTATGGAATAGATAGCTGAAGCAATAGGAGCCACTGTTGAAAACATAAGCCACATGTAAGGCTGGAGTAAGAGTGGAGCCATGCGTTCTGAGGGTTTTCCCTGGGGTCTGAATGAAAACACAAGGGGCTGGGTATTGTTTGATGGAGGCCAGAGAACCACTTGAGGCCACTAGAGCCTGACTTTCAGAGGAACTGTTATATTGTGGGCCTTTCATAAAGGGTTGCATGCTGAGCTAATCAGAAGGGATTTTAATAGGTGAATATTAAGAAAAAAACTGTCATCACAATTAATTAGTTTTTCCGTTCAGAAAGATTCTGGTTCCCTTTCTCCAGCAGCCTTGATGCTGAACTGACTACCTGGCAGAGAGGTATTTCGTGTTTAATCTCAATGTTGTTAGCCATGCAGGGTGAGGGTGAAATCCACATATGAAGCAGGAGGTGAGTTAATCAGACTTGAGACCATCTTTCTAACATGGATGAGACCAGTACAGCAATTTAAACACAATGGCATTTTTCAGACTGCTAACTAACTAAATGCTTTGGGAGGACATGTGTATATATAGTATGTGTCTTGCAGTTGATAAAAGGTTAATGCTGCTGGAGTCATAACAGTGCTGTATAAAGGTTGAGCTGAAGCTTTTCTCCCAAAGGCAGTCCTGAGAGTCTTTAGAGTAAAACAAAATGTTCCCATGATCTGAAGTGAACTTAATGCTTATGCTGGCGTACTTCTGGGCAGAGGGTTTGATTAAAAGACTGCTGCTGCACTAGCAGTGTACTTAGCAAGAACACTGGTAATCTCAGAGACATGTGTTAGCAGTGTGAGCCAAAACATGATCTGAGGTTCATTATTTGAAACGTTCACCTCAGCTTTAGTGAATGCGGTGATAACAGCAGCACATGGTTAGAGTCTTAAATGAAGTTCACTCCAGTGCAAGTGAATGAACACATCCTCAGGCAGTGTAACCTTAAGACAGCATGAACATGAAGCAGGATGTTTTCATGTATTACCTGAAAGTGAACTTTCGGTTCACTTTCTGTATTAAAGAGCTATCCCCCAAACTGTCGAACACATCCATTGAAAATGTTGTGATGAGTTTTTGGACCTCAGGGTTTGTTAGCTCTCTAGTATTTGTGGTCAAACAGATAAAAATGAATCAGCATGTTCAGGAATAGACTGAGTTCTTTCAAAGAAATAAAAAGCGATGAATCTAAATTCCCAACCTGAAACTAATTAGGTTCCCTATTGTTCTGTAAAATATTCAACAGCCCATGTGATATTGATCACCAGAAGATTTTTTTTTAAACCATGCTATTGTCTGTGCTATAATGGGAGAAAACAAACTTCTTTCTTTTATCCAATGTCCTGGATGTCTTTGTGTGTGTGCAGAGGATACATAATACATAGAATAAAGATACATAATACACACACACGTACAGATAAATATAATTAATAAACTAAAAAAACCCCAGCTGAATTCAAACAATGAATTTTTAATGAAGTTTGTGAAGACTGTAGAACTAAGTTAAGTGAGTGATTAGACATAAAATAATAATTTTCTGTTGCGAGATCCCATAGCAGGTAAAGCTACCATTGATGCTTTACGATAATGCTCATAGTTAGGGATGGACAAACTGCTCATATTCTTCATGACTTTTGCCCTTCTTTGGCTAGATTATCATCTGAAGGCCATTACGGTTTCTGTAAATGTATTCATTATTTGTAATTATTCCCTGAATAGTTTCAATGAATAACTTTCAAATCTATGGGCTGTCTATGCATTGCTATTCAGAGTTCAGTGTGTATGATTTTTGTGGTAGCTGATTAGATGACTGGAACTTCTTAAATAGGACAGTGATGAAAGATGAACTTCTGGTTCTGGTTTTCAGACAAAGAAGTGTCTGTGATCAAATTCTTGAAATGTTCAGGATTTGCAAATACATTACAGTTGCCCAAATACTTGTGAAGAACAATATTTTTGCATGTATGTTTTCCTCCTAAGGTTAACTTAACTGGTTTTCAACTGGAATATTTTTTTTATACTTCAAAAATATATAAAGTTAAGAATCATTCTGACATAGCTCTGAACAGGAGCTGAGAGGGTGTTGTAGGTCATCTGAGATACACTCTCTTGGCAGAAAGGAGAGTGGCATCTTGTAAACTGCTAGATTTCACTCTGTCCAGGTACTTATATGCCTATTATTACCATAGTGTCCAAGCCCATCATAACATCCCCTCTGAAATGGGGAAGCATTATTGTTCCATTTATGGATTAGGAGTTGAAGCATAGAGCAATTAAGTTACTTGTCCAAGTCACACAGGAAGTTTATGGTAAAGGCAGGAATTGAACCTAAGGGAGGTCTACATATACCACTTGCACAGATTTAACTAAGTTGGCTTTTTAACTTGATTTAGTTAAGTGGGTGCAACTCCCTGTATGGATATACTTAAATCAGTTTTCAACTGCCGTATAATGTGCTGACTCTATTTTGTAGACAAGTCATAACCTTCTGAGTCCCAGTCCATTGCCATAACTACAAGATTTCTCCCTTTAACCTTGCTTTGATTAAAAATCCTCCCTGGCTTGCATGAGCACTAACTTTTGGCCATTTTTGGCCTAACATTTGGCCAAAAGTTAGGAAAAACTTTTTCACTAGGAGGGTGGTGAAGCACTGGAATGGGTTACTTAGGGAGGTGGTAGAATCTCCTTCCTTAGAGGTTTTTAAGGTCAGGCTTGACAAAGCCCTGGCTGGGATGATTTAGTTGGGGATTGGTCCTGCTTTGAGCAGGGGGTTGGACTAGATGACCTCCTGAGGTCCCTTCCAACCCTGATATTCTATGATTCTATGCTTTCAAAAGCTTTGTTTGTAATTGAAAGTAGAATAATATGGTGTACTGGACATGACTGTTCAAAGGACTCACCCATTAGCTTGCAAAACATAAGACTATTTCAGCAATTCCAGGCTCTCTCAGTTCTAGTAGAAATATCCGCTGATGAGAGAGGTAAAAAGTCGATTCTGGCGTTGTAAAGCCAATTTTTATTATTATTTTCTTACTCTTTCAGAAAGTTCTAGTTTTACTCAAACTATTTGGGCAAAGTTGGTGTCAGTATTTCAATTGGTTCAAAAATGTTTTCATGTACATTTTTCAAAAATGCCCTGCAGGACATACCGATATAAATATCCCTAAGCTTTACTGTGCTTACCTGCTCTTTGGATCCCTCACATTCTACACAGCCATGTTTTGCTGCTATGCCAAGAATTTCTGGGAGCTGGCTTTTTGTTTACTCTTGATCTCAGGGTAGTTACACAGTGTAAGCATTGCCAACTCTTGATTTTTGTTGTTGTTGGTTTTTTGTTCATTGTGAGTCTTGTGATATTTGGTGTTTTCCTTAAAGCCCTAGTTCCTGGAGCTGTGCAAATCTCTCTTTTCATTATTTCAAAAAGTAAGTTTCTAGCCTTCATGATGGCAGATAAAAGTTGGACGATGAGACCCTAGGTGTGATTTATAGGCTCAAAAACGAGAAGGCAAGGAAATAGAACCACAAATTAATTATTTTTTAAAATACTAATTTTTAAACCAATCCCATGATTTTTGAATGCTTGGGATTGGCAATGCTGTGTACAGTGTGTGCTCTGTGTTCTGCATCTATTTTCCTAATGACCACTGCTGTACTAATCTGTACTAATCTGTTCTTTTTTCCTCTTGAAAATTATTTGCATGTATACTGTACATCTATCTGAAGGTCTTGTCGACAAGCACTCTGTCACAGAGTGAACTAGGCCTTCAAGAGGGGTTCAGGTCCTAACTCCGTTGTATTCCTAGTTTCCTCCCAGATCCAGGGGATTCTGGACTAGGGCCCCTTGGATTTGTAGTCCTAAAAGCAAGGCCTACTGGGAAAGCAAGTAGTATAAAGGCAAGCTACTTTTTGCAGTACAGAGAAAGACTTGGAGAAAGCAGTAGTTGCTGGTGGGGCACTTCAGTCACTGGAGATTGGGCCAAGAGGGTTCACAACTGAGAGGGAGTTGGGGAAAGGGACCTGGGGAGGGGCTGTGTTGAAGAAGCCCGGGGAAGAGGCAGGACTGGAGCCCTAAGAGACAAGCCTTCATGTAAGCATGCTCACATGGCAGAGGGAAGGCCCAGGTTTCTCTATGACTCAAGAGTGCTACCTTGAAGTGGTGTGCTGAACCCCCTGCAACCATGGGTGGGAAGGACTGTTTGTGGATCACTGACAAGATCACATAGGCCTTGGCTACACTGGCAAGTTACAGCGCTGTAACTCACTCCCCGTCCACACTGGCAGGGCACTTGCAGCGCTGTGTCTCCCTGGGTACACCGCTGCAGGTACTCCACATCTCCGAGAGGAATAACAGCTGCAGCGGAGTGGCTACGACTCACAGGTGTGAGTGTAAACACTTGCAGCGCTGTACTAATCACCTTGTCAAGTGGCCAATCCTCTCCATTGTTGTGACTGGCTGCAGGAATGCGGAAGTGTCGGTTTCAAAGCTCGTATTGCAGAGAAAAGCAAACAATTTGCAGCTTGCTTTGAGTGAGTAAACGAATGAGCAGGGGGCCAGGAGTTTGGAACTTGCAAAATAGAGAGCTGACATGCTCCAAAAAGCACTCTCTCTCCCCCCACACTCCCTGTCACAATCCACCCACCCCCCCATTTTGAAAAGCACGTTGCAGCCACATGAATGCTGGGATAGCTGCCCATAATGCACCGCTCCCAACACAGCTGCAAATGTTACAAGTGTGGCCACACCACTGCGCTGGCAGCTGTCAGTGTGGACAGACTGCAGCGCTTTTCGCTACTCAGCTGTATGAAGACAGGTTTACCTCACAGCGCTGTACAGCTGCAAGTGTAGCCAAGGCCATAGACCCTGGAACAGGGCTCTGACCCAAGGCGGGTGAATGACGTCCGAGTCGTTCACAGAGAAATGTTTTCTCTTGTACTTTAGTTTACCACAGAAAGGGAAGTCCTTTGATTTGGCCTGAGAGGTTAACTACCTATTTTACCAGGAGAAGAAACGACAGGCAGCACCTCACCCACTGTCAGAGGTAAGTAATCCTCTCGCATGCACTAAAGTTAGCTGATGTGAATAAACAAAAACAACCTAGTTTATTATGATAGTAATAATGCACAAGGTATCACATGCAGACACTGCCTAAGAGAAAATTACTCCAGTGAGATCAGTTGAGTTGTCTGATTATGCCTGGGATAAATTTGGTGAAACCATAGAGATATGATTTAAGATGTAAAATTTGGATCTGGATTGGGATTTCTAATACTTCAAAGTTCAGGGATGTTTGGATCTGGGGTTTTGGTTAAATCAGTTATAAATGCTGGAGCCATTTGTAAAATCAGGATCTGAGTTTTTATTTTGAATCCCAAAGTGTGGGGCATTTGGATGTGACATTTTGATTCAAGCCAATCTCTAATTGATAGTAAGTAGAGCTAACTGAAATTTTTTCATTGAACCATTTTAAAATGAAAAAATGCCCATATTTTGGGGGGTTACAAATGTTTGGGCTTTTCTTTTTTTGTAAATTGAACACTTACTGAAAACTTTTTTTTAACAATCAAAAATGGTTTATGAAAACCAAATATTTTTTCAGGTTTTGTTTTTCACTTAAAATTTAATACAACATTTTAATTTTTCTTTAAATGTCCTGTGAAAATTATTTGCATTTTTCTTCCAGCTCTAATATTAAATCAGGACCCTGGGGAAATATTGAGCTTGATTCTAAGCTCTTTGGGGGCAGGGGCTGTCTTTTCTTCTGTTTGTACTGCACCTAGCACAACGGGGTCCTTGGCCATAATTAGGACTCTTAGGCACTATGGTAATACAAATAGTAAATAATATTACAGTGACTGATTCTATGTACAAAGCATAAGAACATAAGAAAGGCCGTACCGGGTCAGACCAAAGGTCCATCTAGCCCAGTATCCTGTCTACCGACAGTGGCCAATGCCAGGTGCCCCAGAGGGAGTGAACCTAACAGGCAATGATCAAGTGATCTCTCTCCTGCCATCCATCTCCAATAGGCACACAGGGAACAAGTTAACAGTAACAGGACAAAGTGGCACTCTAGTTTGTGTGGAGAGTGTACCAGCACTGTGACAGGACTAGTTAGTATTTCCATTGAAAACATCTTCATTCTTGGAATGTATCCTCTCTCTCCCCACCCTCCAGCCCCTCGCCGCACCATTTTCTTGAAATTTGACGTGTTGATATAGATGGGTAAATTATATCAGATGAAATTAGAAAACTCTTTGAACTTTCTGAAGAACTTTCCCATTCTGAAACCCACTTCCATGGTTCTGAAACTAGGTGTTACCACAGTGGTGAACAACCTTATAAAAACATTAAAAAATGATGGAAGAACTCCTCCCTCAGCTACCATTTTTCCTTGTCTTTGTGCTTCCAGTATCCAGCAGAAGCAGGAAATTAAAATGTTTATATAGGAGTAGACATACTGTTCTTATGATATTTCATTCAATAGAGGAAGCAGAGTTTTGGAAATATTGCATAACAACCTGTTGAGAGATTTCAAGCCAAACTTTGTAGGTTCATGAGGATTTGGGAAAGGTTGAATAGGCTTTGGCTAAATCTTGAACTTTGGGATGCTCATCCATTCTTAACCCAATCTCTGATTTTTTTCTAAGGTTTTCCTATCACTGATACAAGGAGCCTGCTCCAATAGTCCCTGAACTCAGTGAAAAGATTCTCATGGACTTGAATGGATGTTGGAACAGGGCCAAAATGAGGATTTAATTTATAAAGCAGTGCGACTTAGTTGAACAGCTTTTCAGACCCAGCAGTTAGAAAAAGGTTAATGGTTTTAGTTCCCTTTTTTGAAAAATCTGCTTTTATCTAAAATAGCATCTTCAGCTGACATTTTACAGTCCCCTCACTTGAAGCCATAGTGTAACATCGGATGCCTCTGTGGGCTGGAGCTGATATTAACAGCTCAATGAGAGCTTTTTTGCTGAAACATGTCTGGGGTGGTTGAAATTACTAACTCATATTTTAGATGAGTTCTAATAGGGATGGGGGCCTATCTCAGTATTCTGATCTGGGTGCTGATGAGTCCTGCTATTTGGTGATATCTGATTTACATCTCCCCTCCCCCCCAATACAAACATGTGATCAGAATTGGCTATTCCTACCTCACATGGCACTCAGAATTAAATACAAAGAACAATGATAAAATAATGCAGCTAGTTATTCATGCACACAAGTCACCAGGGCCACACAGTTCTGCTTACTGCTCAAAATCTCCAAACAACAGGCTTGTGCTTGTGTTGCTGGACTAAAACATATGACATAGAGCCCACAAGCTGTCCCATGTGCTAAAATCCATGATGCAACAGGTGTTCAGAGACTCCAGGTCAAATTAGATAAGATTAGAAGAAGGCAGGATGACAAACACACAGCTTACTACACTTATCCTCCCTTGCTCCCATTTCCTGAATGCGACAATTGCCTCTAAGTGTCTGAAAACCTGTGTCCCCTATTCCATTTTTTACCCACCTCTGCCAACAAAGCCATGCATAAAATATCCTCACGCAATTTGGAAGATGTCATCTGTTATCAGCTAAAGTGGGAGAGGCACTTTAGATTAAATTAAGTGAATTATTTGAGCAAGGAAAGCAGCATGACTTGTATTCATAATATTGAGAGGATAGCTATCATACAACATGCATATTAAAGAAAAATAATAGGAATAACAAAACTGCTTATTATACTAGGAAGATGAAACATTTTGACTTAGTAGTTGATGCAAACTTTGGGTAACGTCTATGTGTTTAATAAATAGATGTTAATTTTCAAGGAAATAGCTAGACAGTATGTAACTCTTCTAATACTGGTGAGTTCCTCCCTGGACAGAAGATCCCATGATTTATTAAGCCACATATTAATGGGAATGTTGCAGGAAGAAAACTGTTCAGTTATACTGTGTGTTTAATAATAATCACCTATAAAGGAAACTAAGATGGGCTCAATTTTTTTTTGTCCTTTCCTTCAGGAATTTTAAGGGTAACTTGATGAGGAAAGCCAACAAGGAGTGACAGAGGTATGCTTTTTATATGTTCTAGTGTGTCTGGGGAGAAGAATAAGGGCTATGACTAGAGCTGGGTGAAATTTTTTTGACTGAAACCTTTTTACAGCGAAAAATGCAGATACGGTGACACCAAAACATGTTGCGAATTCATATCAATTTTGCCAAATTGTTCTTTTTATTGCAACAAACACAAACCAATATTTTTTTAAAAAGTCAACAGTGTTTTTGAGAATCATTACCATGAAGCTAGGTATAGATGGACAAAGACTTTGCCTGCAGAGGCAGCAACATAACTCTGCCTGAATGCTGGCTGAATAGCGGGGCCATGCTTCTGCTTGCTCATAGCCAGGCAAGGTGGTTAAATTAGGAGAAAGATTCTTCATATGCCTGGGTTGGAAAACAGCAAATTTTGCTGGTGCAGTTCCCCCTCAGGCCTTAGCTAAGAGAGGGCAAAGCTGAATACATACCCCTAAGATTTTGACATGTACCTCAAATGGGCTCCTCACAACTAGCCTCTAACCAATAATGGGACCATTAAACTCCTTTGTGGGCCAGTCTTGGGGAAAACTGGACCATCATGAAAGAACATGCTGCATCTGTGGGAAAAGTAACTGCATCATGTACACTCTTCATTAACCCCCCCACTCCCACCCCCCAGAGGGCTGCAGCTGATTGCTTGAATGCCTTCTTCAAGAACTACCAGCTGCCTGGAAGGAAAGTTGTGATGATACATTAAATGTTCTGTTACAAAGCCATGAACATAAGCAAAGAAAGGTGAGCAGGTCACAGATATTACAACTGTTTTGTGACAAATTTGACCAGAAACTTCAATAGCTTACCAAGCACAGTGCTGAAACTGCCTGGAAAAAATACCCCAGATAGTCCAGTCAAACCCTTCTCCAGCCTCCTAATTTATCCAGCATGTAGCTGCTAAGGGCACAGTGAATTACCACTTGAGTTGTGTGAGATTGAGTAATACGTATGGCATCAGTCCAGGTCAGCAAACTGTTCAAGAACCTGGACTAAGGTTTGTGAGCAGGACTAGAACCAAAATATACTCTGGCTTCATGTGGGTTCAGGGTTCCAGTTGAACTGTTCTCACAGCCCTAGCTGCCAAGCTTTGAATGCACATTACATCTGACTCACTGTCTCTGATGCTAGTTATGTGCTAAATAGCATTTATCATGTATCTTTGACCACGTCATCTTTGCTCTGCCCACTGATTTATTAGTGTCAGGCCCTATTTTAACATTCCAAACTTCTGGGCAGCTTTAAACATCTCGTAATTATTATTATTTGTTTTACAACTCTTTCCACCAAAATGTTTCCCCCTCCCCGCCCAATGTTGAATTCCCCATCACCATTTGTTAGTAGGCTGGCCATTTCAAATTAATGCTGTCAAATCTTCTACCCTACTGTACATCATACACATTATTTTTACTTCACTTATTTGGCATGGGTCTCCTTTTGTGCGTGTGATTCTTCATCATCAAAACTAAAATTGAATAGAGCTGTGCTGGTTTGTCGCCACTACTGCTACTGGAATGCGTGTACCAGTGTGTTCCCACGGCAATTTCTTGGGAATGTTCCTGCAAATGATCAGAATGCGTGGGTGTGCCTGCAGGAACATCTGACAGTACCTAATAAGTATTTAACACTGATGGATTTTCAGAGATTGTAGTTTTTATAGGCTACACAGCTGACACCTCACAAAGATAAAGGGTGCTACTGAGCAGAATTATATAACTGCCTAGCATGATCTAACAAAGGAATAGAGTTTTCTCTTTTTAGGGACAAACAAGGTTAGAAGTTTCATCCTGATTCTTTTAGACCAGAAGCTCTCAAAATGTTTGCACTGTGCGCTTCACGTAATTGAACAGTTGCCTTGTGGACTACCTCCTCTCACATTCACAATAGCATAGCATCTGTGTAGTAGCAATAGTACAGGTTTATGTGGAAAAATATATCTTCACCCCATTTTGAGAGGCCCAAACTGTCGTAGATATCAAATTCTGTAATGTGTAGATATCGGTGAGTTTGGTGTTTAGTAAATACCAGGAGAGCGTGTGAGGATTAGAGCTGACAAAAAACTTTTTATAAAACTTTTTTCTGTTTCAAAATGGTACTTCATCCAAATTAAAAGGTTTTTTGCAGAAATGTGTCAGTTTTGACAAGAGGATAAGAAAAGAGCAAGACTCCCACAATTGCCAATAGAGTGGTGGTTAGGGAACTTGCTTTGGATATGGGAGATTGAGGATTGTCCCTGCTCTGCCTGATCCAGAATTCCCCATGCTACTGGCGGTTCTGCGGTGGATCTCTCTCTCTCTCTCTCTCTCTCTCTCTCTCTCGCTCATGTTTTTTCATGACAAAATTTGACAGGTCTCGTTTTCATTTTGCATTGGAACCAAAACTGAAACCTCAATTTTTGCTGAAGGGGAATTATTATTGTTTTCCAGCCAGCCCTAGTTTGGATGTGGCAACTGAGGTATTCTCATAAAAATATGTGGAATAATGTTAAAGGAAGATACTGTATAGCCATATTAAAAAGTAGATTTCCACTTTAAAAAAAATCCCTTCCATTTGATTGAAATGCTGACTTAAATGACTTTTCTTTGAGTAGCTATTGGAATATGCAGAAATACCTGCACAATGTTCGTGGACATAGTGCTTAATTGAAATAGGATTTATCTATTGCAGCTCTGCATTCTAAAGCAGCCCCTCATTTCTGAGAATAAAAATTTGGGGCTGGAAAACTGGCGATCTGAATCTCTTCTCCCCCCTCCTTCTATTTGGGATGCTCTGTGTTTGGTTAAAGGGTATGTTTAGACTTAATCTGTCCTGACATGCACATACTGTACCACTGCAATGTGTTGCAATACTCAGGACTTCTCTGAAGAGTATAATTTCTGGGAATTGTGTCACAGTGTCACATACGCTGGTTGGTTGCTATGAGTAACATCTGTGAAGAACTATTATTTATTCTCATAGGGCAAAGCATCATAAAAAGTCACTTCAAATGAACAGTAAACACAACATATGAGAATTATTGGCCAGCAATCTTCTTCCGCATTTTGTGGTCTTCACATAGCTTGAGAAGTGCGCCATGCTGCATTCTGTCCAGTCAGCCACATCACTGAACCACACTCACTGCAGATGCCGCTACCCCTGGCACTTAGTACCAGTCCTTGCAAAACTTCCTTCAGCAATCTTCCTCTGCTCCGCTAACCCATGTGTCCCACAAATTCAAGTTTTCTTTTTCTGAGCATCTTAATGATGTCAGGTATCACTCTGATTCTACTGTACATTTGGGTGATTACCTTTTTGTTAGTTGTGTGAGATATTGCTAACATGCAGCAATTGCCTGTAGCATTTCAATTTGAAAGCCAAAAGCCTCTTAATGCCTGTATCCTTGGAATCCACATCTCTCATACACATATCAAGATGCTGAAGAGAAGGAAACAATTTCATTTTACATTTCATGGTAATACCGTGGTGTTAAGAAGAGTATCCATAAAACTTTGCAGCACCACTCAGGGAGTGCTGTCTATTAGTTAGAGCTAGAGGGACTAGGAGTCAGGACTGTAGGGATCATGTCCAGCTTTTCCACAAAATGAGTCTGCCATGGTGTAAACTATGTCAAATGGAGTAATCTCTGTGCCACAGTTTATCAAGCCATAAGCTGATCATAAAGGTTGTTGAGGCCCAACTATTGTTTGCAAAACATTTTGAGATTCTCAGATGAAAGTTGTGGAAGTGTCCAATATTATGGAGGACTCTGGCAGTAAATTTTCCCATCATTTGTGTTTGGGATACATAACTGTTTCCAAACATGCTGTTAGAAATGTGGGATAATTGAAATTGCTTCCTAAAAGCATTTCACAGAAAAATTCTCAGCACAGTTCTGGGGAGAGAAGCATTCTACCTTATTTTTGTCTTCCTTCCCTTCTGGAAGTGATTTTGTGCTGACATACTGTCCATCATCTGTTCAGTTCCTAAGGTGCATGTTGTATACAAATAAAATCTGTCCAATGTGATTGATTAACTTCCTTGCCTTACTGTTTATCTGGAACACTTTGTATGCATTCATGTGCAATGCCTCCACATGCTTCCTTCACAATTTATAGTCCAGTACTTGTCACTTGCATAATATCCTATCCTTACTCACTACTAATATATTAATCAAGTAATTTTTCTATTCAATGAAAATGACAAGTAGATAGCTAATCTACCTACCTATATGAATATTTATACCATTCCTATCACTGTGGTATTGGAGCTAGGCATCCTTTTCTCAAACACTCAAGAAGATTATCCATCTTTATCTCCACATGCCTCATCAGCATCATCCGTTAACTTCACTTTAAAAAAAAGTTTTTATTATCAGTATTGAAATGGAAAAAAAAGGATCATAATCCTTAGTAAATGAGAAACAATCAACAGTGTCTTAGGAAGGAAAGGGATTGTCCCTCTGATAGACTGACCATTATTTTTTATTATGGCAAGCATAGCATGGAACAGGAAATATTGACTGAATTTATTGTTGTAGACAGATGCCGGGGAACCATGAACGAAAGGAACAGGGGGAATGAAAAGGCATCAAGCTGTGGGGATAGAGGGACAGCTGTGGCAGAAAGTTAGAGGCATCCACATCTTGGACACCCAAAGAAGAGGCAAGTACCCATTTAATTTGGGACATAAAAATTCACTGTGGGTGAGATCCTCACCCTGCTCTGTCCCCTATATGTCAAATAAAAAGGCTGGTGCCATATGAAGGGACCTTACAAGCCCTGTTTCTGCATGAGGAAGCCAGACAGACACTTTGGCAGACAGTCGTAATGCTGTCCTCTGAGGACCTTTCACAAGCCTTGGTAGATCATGGTGGAGAGGGTGTATGTTATAGGTGATGGTGGGGACACAGTGGGTTCATTGGGGTTAGAGCTGCCTGCATCACACATATCTGTGGAGATTCTGAGCAACATTGTAGCCGATAGGACAGCCCAGGGAGGCTGCCT